GGAAAATCGTGAAGAGAAAATGAAAACATATTCGCGGTTGTGTAGTGATTGTTATTTTCATTAAATTCATTTTTTGTTTAGTTTTGGATTAGTATTGTATGGGTCTTATTAAGCAACATAAAATCACGACTACATCGGCCAATATTGCTTGTATCATCGTCTTTTAGTTTAACAATGCAGCATGGCAAGTCGATTCTGTAAGATTTCAAATATAATATTTGGGTGAGTGCATTGTGATTGTTATTTGTGTAATAAACAATATTCACGAGATATGAGGTGCTATCTGTAGATAATGTGACGTTTGGTGCTAAGACTCGCGGACAACGTGATAATTTGAGAAAAAATACACAGATAATTTAGAATCCGGGTAGTTGTAGTTATATGACAGCTGCCGTCGTGTAGCGTGCATTTGTACACGTGCTGAATACGTGACATGGAACATATACCGAGCAACGCCCATGAAACCATGAAACCTGCAATTCAACATCTATGACGTAATTTCAAGTTAATGGCGTCATATAGCTGACACATTGTTTGCGGTTAAAAGTTATTATTCATAGTATAAACCATGGTAACGATATGTCAAAATGTTGAATGTGTACCCATGATGATATGAAAAGATGGATTTTATTTGATAGTTACTATCCGGTAAAGAGTATATATGTGATACGTGGTTTTAAAGTGTTTGGTGTGAATACGCTACAGCTCAAACCTGTGTGCACATCCAACACTAAAATGAGAGAATACATACAGAGGGTGTATGCCCTATCTACGTTATACTGTTTCAACAATTTTAAAAATCGGCTTCGTATTTGTGTTTCATTATTGTGTGTTTTGGTCTAATCTTTCGCCTACCGCCACCACCTAATTAGTTAGGAGCAATCACATGCGATTCCGATTTTTATTTGTTTAAAATGGCAGTAACGGACGAATATAACGAAATGTATGGGGATGATTTTTACTTGGTATAATGTATATTTATATAAAGGCTGTTCTTTGAAATGTTCGACACGTATAATAGTTCTGTAATGCGATTATGCTTAATTGCATATTGGAAATCCAATGTAACTTAAGTATCCATGGCCATCGCACAATATTACCATGTGTACACTTCCTTAATCTGGCAAAAAGCATTGTTCATATACATGGTGACTAATCAGACTCAGCTGTTGTCACAGGCAAACATTACAGATTGCAAGCGTGGAACATCTATAGGTCAGGCATACAATATATTTGTTGTCATATAAGTTGGAAGGAAATCGTGGATCAGTATCTAATAACTAATTGGAAAGCTAATGGTGGTGGATATATCATCTCAGTTTGCATCCCATTCGTGACGTTCATATACAGCGCAATTTTGCAAAGTGAACACGTTGTGTCATTGCTAAAAATATCATGCTGGGTTAATTTCCGAAGTTTACTTTTGAAGGTTTCATCAGCTTTGAATAAAATCAGTCACTTTAATCATTTTAAGAGGAACCACATTTTGTGAATACAAATTTGTTACGTCAATGCCAAAAAAAAAATAATATCGTTTCAATGATCGGTCGCCAGTTATAACTGATTTTTACACGTATCAATATATACTTCGACATTCAGTAAACTATTTATCTATCCTAGTATTAATTTATTTATTTTGTTTGTGGAAAGACGAGATTTCAGATAGATACAGATATCAGTTGACATGTTATCACATAGAGGAAACATTGTGTTACCTGATCCATGGACTAACGTGAAAATTAAGTGATCCAATAAACATATCTCTTACATAATAGAACATTGAATGATGGTATTCAATGGGTATGTTGCTTACATAAAGGAAAATGTGCACCTTGCTTACAACAATCACGTACACTCAAACGATCAAACGTAAAGTTGGTTACACTACAACCTGACATTCGTACTGCAATTATTTTCTACAGGAGTGGGACACAGAGTTAGCAAAGCAAGCCAGTGAATTCGCTATCTGTGAAAATGTAGGGAATTACCGAAAGGTGGATTTGGGGTCGTACGATGGTTTTATCGACGAAGCACAGCCCCGTGAAACTGGACGAAACATAGCATTTGCGGTGAATACGTCAATACGAGAGATTATCGAAGGATGGTTCAACCAACGAGAGTATTACAACTATGAATGGCAATCTTGCAAACCGCTGGATAAAAGATGTGACGATTTTATTCAGGTATTTCTGCACCACATAAATGTGTACAAATTATTTCAGACAGGGGCTATGTCAGCAATTCAGACAGGGGCTATGTCAGCAATTTTAGACAGGGGCTATGTCAGCAATTTTAGACAGGGGCTATGTCAGCAATTCAGACAGGGGCTATGTCAGCAATTTTTAGTCTCAACATAAAGTCTGTAAGGTTTGTTCATGTCAAAGCAATCAAAGTGTAATTTTGTTTTTAATGAGTCTGTCTGATAATTACCTGAAATTTTACATTTTGAAATCCTCATAACGTAAAACCCAAATAATGTATCTAGTTATACATTTAATTTCCTATACAAGTATGTGGTCAAATATTCGCATAGTGAATGCGGTATGTTCATGGAATGCAAAATACTCGTATCTTGAGAACTATACATTATACCTGACTAAAATGTAAAGATCATACTATCCATTTTTGGTTATGTGTTTTCTCAAAAATATGCAAATTAAAAGTCATTAGCCAAATTAGACTGCACTCCATTTCGCCATGTGCACATGCACATAAAAAGTCTATCCGTAATCTCTGGGGGTTCATTTTACTTGCGCTTTATACTGAGCAACTACAGCCAGAAGTTTATAACTAGAAATCAGACTGTATCATTTTTCTTAGTGAGGGAATTATTCTCCGTACATGTATTTGATAGAACTTCTCACGCGGATTTGTTTTTCACTAATAATATTTAATATTCCACCCATGTGACGTCATCATTGCGATGCTTTAGCTGATAATCGTGATTATTATATCCACTATCTGGTTTTCAGCTTGCCTGGGCAGAAGCATCGCGTTTGGGGTGTAGTGTAAATCCAAGTTGCGTTCACGATGGCATCATGGGAATATTCCTCGTCTGCATTTATGACGTAGGGTGAGTACAGTGATGTGTCAAATTGTACAAGTTAATTTATTTGATCTGAATATTGTTTTTCTTAGAGATAAATGAACTGACCCCCGTTACTAAGAACATATAAATCCCGTGTGTTTCTGCCTCCAGTATCAGTTGTAGTCATGGAAACACATTAACGCTAATATCAATAGTGAAATATTCTTTAATCAAATGAAGGGTGTATGTATAGGCATACGAACTCCCGTTATGTGTGTTGGGATTACCTATTTATTTAATTATGTATAATATTTATTTTATCTTGTGTAGATCCACACCATTCGAACAACCATTTCAACTCGGTCCAGTTTGCTCTAAATGTGGTGCCTCAGCCGGGTTCTGTGAGGAAGGTTTATGTGGTAAGTGCGGTGTTTAGGTTTAGAGTAACGTTTGAAGTCTTCTCCGACCAGTACAATTTAACGTTTGTGGTGTTTTTGACACATTTTTTTTTCATATGTGTTTTGTTTCACATGACTTTGCAAACCATTTCAGGAGTTATTGCACAAACAAATCGACATAGATTAATTCATTACAACTTAAAAGTAAAAGAATACAACGGCTTAATGTGGGATTGCGAAGTAGAGGTTCTGGTTGGACAAGAACGACTCAACTCGAGTACTTTCCGGTTACACACACGGCTCAATGACGTTAGCTTTTGTGTAAGCGCAGAGAATGAATCTATAGAGTTTGACGTCATGGGTGACGTCATTGGCTGAGTAAGGTTTCATCGTATTTCAATATTAGTAATGTTATAGATCATAATTGAATTTACTCAGTCGTCTTTTTTGTTTATATTTCAGTGAATGATTGCATGAACAGTGTTTCGTGTGGTGAGTAGACCCATTGTGACCATATATGATTGGATAACAAGAGAGGCATGCAAGCACGCGTGACCACACAGTAATTTGCATACTATCGCGTGACATGTTCTTCTAAGTTTTTCGTAAGACTGATAGTGACAATCGTGGTCTTTTACACTTCAGTGAATTGTTGGATGAAAAGTCATGCGTGTGAAAATAATCAGCCTGAAAACGTAATCACACCAAGCATTATAAACTGTATTTCATTTTACAGAATGTCTGAAGACCTGTAATCATCCTGGCGTCGGCGAGGGCGTTCTTGACGTGACCACTTGTACTTGTCAGTGTAATTTCGGAATGGGATTTGATTGCGAAGGTATGTGGCCAAATTATTAACTACGCCGTAGTGGGTGCTGATGTAATTCAAATGTAAAGAGATTTCCCACTTTTTAGAAGCAGTTCCATACAAAGACGTATAATAATGCACAAAATAAAATAGTTGTGTACGGTAAACCGTGTTAGCAACATGCCACTAACGTCATGCAGATTTGAATTATAGGAAATGCGACTAAGAACGATTCCTATCATGCAATGCTAACTAATGTATTCATTGTGCATGTCATACTAGAAAACTACAGTTGAATTAGTGACACGTTTAGTATCTTATCAAAATGTCGTCATGGGGCTTTAACAATATCAAGGGAATCCATGTAGTACTGTTGCTGCAATGAATTGGGGGCGCCACATCATATGTATCCAATAAATAAATAAACAAAATTATAATACCCTGATTCCCAATTACAGACAAATGTGAAAATCCTCAGTTTTATGAAGACTGGAGTTTCTGTAAAGAGATTGATACATCTGAAAACTGTGACACTATGATGGAAATGCAAATTGAATATTGCCCAGCGAACTGTGACTATGGCTGCCGTAAGTTACTCCTTAATTGTATCACCACGCTTTTCAGGTTGTTCGGTTTTAGAGTCTCCCGCCGTTCAAACAGTTCCGGTTTCTGAAACAACACTGACATTTATTACATTTCCCTCTGGCTGTAATAATTAATCAAATTCAAATTATGTGGGTGGACAATCGAACGTCTACCCATATTTCGGGCACGTAAACTACTTGTCACTTAGTGTTCTATTATAACTACAATAACGACTTTCGGTTTTCGACATTGTGAAATTCCTTCGTTTTTAAAAAAGAAACAACAACTGAAAACAACTGATTTTTACAATAAAATTAAGAAATTTAGTAAGAATAATTCACAAGGAAATTTATTCCATACGCACACTATTAATAGTTACTCGTGAATGTTAAAGACAAATTATAATTTGCTGTATTCTCTATTCACTCTTTTGTCGCAAATTATGACTGAAAGAAGCTGAACGAAATTACAAAATATGTAGAGTGTTTAAAATCTCATATATGAATAAGAACAATGAATATGATATTACTTGAAAAAATACTGTATTTTTCTGCAATAAAACGAAAAAAATTCACAATGTGGCAAACAGAATGTTTTTACCGTAGTGTTTTTTCGATAAATAAGCCCATTTTGTCATGCTCAGAATGAAATAACAGTTGTAAACACTAAAATAATAAACAAATTATGAGTGTAATATTAATACATGTACAATAACGTACATATTATGAGTATAATATGAATACATGTACAATAACGTATATATTATGAGTATAATATGAATACATGTACAATAACGTATATATTATGAGTGTAATATGAATACATGTACAATAACGTATATATTATGAGTGTAATATGAATACATGTATATATTATGAGTATAATATGAATA